ATTGCATATATGTATAAATAATTTACACACACACATACACACCCACGAACGAGCGCGCGCGCACACACACACAAACACATAAATAAAAAAAGCACACACACATATATATATTTATTTATTTACATGAACATACATACATAGAAGATATCGATAAGCATCACAAAATACCTTGCATCATACCTTGCACATCCACACGTACAAAGCATTCCATCACATAGCATCCTCCTTTACAACATTCATACAAAACGCAGTCTACAACGTGCAAATTATAGAACTCGCATGTTAACAATGTTCCGTCCTTTATGTACGACGTATGCGTGCGTGCGTGCGTGCAACACGCAGGAAACCCATCTGGCGTGCACCATCGACGTACACTCAAACATGTGTACGCACACACGTCTCACGTCAATCTCTGTTGTCCTATGGCCGGCCGGTTCGTTCCTGCGTTTGTTTGTTCGTTCGTTTGTCTGTGAGCATGTTCGCTCGTTTGTTTGTTTGGATGTTCACGAGATAAGCGGGAAGACACTCGAAGTGATATTTTGTCATGTGGTGTTGTTTTGTGGTTGTTTGAAATAAATATGCTGTGGATGGGTTTATATGGACGTGTTAGGTGGATGTTGCTGGTGTGTGGATTGACTGGATGAAGTGAAGAAGAGGATGATGATCGTGGTGGTTGGTTGTTTATGTTGTTGATGCTTTGTTGATTTGTTTATGGATTCTGATGAGACGTTGATGTTTTGTCGTGTGACGTTGATGTCTTGTGCATGTATCGTAAATTGTGTGGTTAAAATGTTGGCTTGATTGAACAAAGTATTTGAATTGTTGATTCTTCTGAATATAGTTCGATCTTTCGGCCGTTTTATTTGACATTTTCATTTCAAAACGCGTAATTATTTTAGATCTATAAAAAAAATATTAAAACTCTATGGAAACAAAAAAAAATATTTTACAAAAAACACCTTTGTCTGCATTCATTCATAACCTGAAAAGCAAATGATATAACGTGCCCGCATTACGTTCTCACAATTCCAATGACAATGCGGAAAGAGACAAATTACACGGAAGAATAATTCCATAAATAGATTTAACAAAAAAGGATAACATCGGAGCAAAGTTAAAGTCGTTAAATGAAGGCAGGAAAATTTCAATTAAAAAAAATCCCGTATTATGGATTAACATTGATATCCATGGTTATTATCATTGATATATATATATACATATCCATGGCTATTATTCAATACATCCTCCTCTGTTAGCGGCACAAAATTTTTGAAACTAGAAGTAATTTCTATAAATTTTTTTAAATTAGAATTTTCCTTCCTTCACTTAAAATGACTTTAATTTTTCATTTTTTGTTAAATATTATGTGTAGTTTTTTGTATTATGTGTAGTTTGTCTTTTTCTGTATAGTCGATAAAAACGTAAAGAAATATTCATTATATTCTATATATATGTTTATATAACCTCAACACATGCTTTGGTTCAACATTATAACTCTGTCTTTAAATGTTTAGTATAATTTTTACGTGGCTTCTACACCTTACAACGGAAAGAACAACTAAAATAATTGAGGCTGTTGAACAGCACACAACATCGATTGCCCAATCTTTTTCGTTCGAGAAATCCGATGTATACAAATATTCAATTTAGATTTATCTGCATAGTAAATGTACAGCGATAATGTCAACTATTTATGACAACAGTAAAGTGATATGTCTCGAAATTATTTGCATTATGAACTGTTTAAAATAAAAAACCTCTTTGTTTGTTTTTAATATAATTGTTTATTAAAGAAACGTTAATTGAAATATTAGAAGACACGTTAGTCGACAAAAAGAAGAACATACACGTGCAAGTTAGTCAAATTAGCAATAATATAAGATTGTCTGAAACTATGGAAAGTCATAATTATATTGAAACATATATAATATACATATATATTATTTCAATACTTTCCCTTGTTTCAAAACATTTTATGACATTAGTCCCATATGTCCACACAGGAGTTTCAGTCTGACTGCTTTGAATGGCTTCTTCGTATGTATCTGGTTCATGTACATCTAATAAATATGTCTCAGCCTGCATCACATAATCATCTAACTTCTTAGGTTTCTGCAAGCTTGACCTATCTCTGAGTTGAACTTTAACTGAATTATCTATAATCTTCTTAGTGTCATCTGTAATTTCTTCTTTTGAATCATCATTTCTACTACTCGAGTCATTTTCTGATTTGCAATTGATTTGAGGATCTGTTGTAAAATCTTTTTGAGTCTGATGTTCAAATGATGTTGTACATTTCATAGATTTTTCTTGGAAAACTACATCTCTAGAGAATATCATTTTATATTGATTTTTGAGCCATATACGATAGCGTTCGTCACCATCGTAACCAACAAGGTAATCTTTTATGGCTTTCTTATCCATTTTTTGAAGTTTTTGATCAGGTATGTGAACAAAACATGTAGAGCCAATTATTCTCAAATGGTTAATTCTAGGCTTTTTACCTGTCTAAATTTCAAATGGGCTTTTATCTTCAATCGACGACTTGCCTGTTCGATTAAGTAAATATACTGCAGTTGAACATAACTCAGCCCACAGAGCGACTGGAAATTCAAAATCTGGATTTGAGTACTTCAATGTGCGTGCCATTTCTACTATTGTTCCGTTTTCACGTTCACTACCACCATTTTGTTGATGTGTATATGGTGCTGTTAGTCTTTGCGTGATTCCATGGCTGCGCAGGATATTTCGAACTTCTTCATTGTCAAACTCACCCCCATTGTCACTCAAAAATTCTTTTACTTTATGACCTATTTTGTAGTGCCTGTTTCACTTCATTTTTGTGTCTAAGAAAAGAAATGAACCTCATTTTGCTGTAATGATCTTAGAAAACAACAAAATATCGTTTTCTATTAAATGATTCTGTACTGAAAGGACCACAAACATCTGCTGATAGTAGTTCACCTGGTTTATTGGTTGCATTTCTCTTGCCAAATTTTAACCGATGTACTTTACTATAGAGACATGATGAACTTTAATGTTTAACTCCTTTTCTATAACATTCTTTATGTGACGTTTATCTTGATGACCAAAACGTTCATGGTAGAGCTGCACTATTGAATTTTCACTGACTATATTCACTTCAGCCGGTGTATCTGGAGTTAATGAAATCAAGTTTGGCTCATACAAGGAACCATCTACTCGTCTTGTCCCTTGTACTACCACTCGGTTCTTTATACTGAGTTGACATTTGGTTGCATAAGATTCAAACTTGCTGTTTTTTGAATTTTTATCTTGTGCGGCTAATATGGAACCTATATTTGGAACATACCAGACATCTGAGAGTTTTATATACTGTTGTTTGTTATTTATTTCGCCTCTACCCACAGCAACAAGAACTTCTTTTCCTGCAGCTTGAACAGAACTTGGTGCGACAAACTTCTCAAAAGTAACAAAATTATTTGGATTGTTCGTTAGGTGCTTTGTTGCTCCATTGTCAATATACCACTTAGTGTTGTCTCTCAGTGTTTGATTACTGGCTGACGTGCACAAAACTACATTTGATGTTTCATCATATGCTTTTCTTGGTGTCGCTGAAACATTTTTGGAATTTTTAGAAGATCTTCCATCACTGACCCACTTTCTACATTGCTTAACCCAGTGTCCAAGTTTATGGCAATAGTTGCAGTTACCAACTGGTTTTGTCCTTTTAGTGAAATCTCTTGATTTGTTGAAACTTTTTCTCAAAACAATTTATTAAGCGTTCTGGGCTCATAACCTGTTTAAAATAAAAAACCTCTTTGTTTTTAATATAATTGTTTATTAAAGAAACGTCAATTGAAATATTAGAAGACACGTTAGTCAACAAAAAGCGAAAAGAAGAACATACACGTGCAAGTTAGTCAAGTTAGCAATAATATAAGATTGTCTGAAACTATGGAAAGTCATAAACATATTGAAATATATATAATATACATATATATTATTTCAATATGAACTAGAAGAATGGAAATATTGGAATGGAAACAACGCGGAGATTTTATGTCATCACGTCATCACTTTATTATCTTTAGTGGGTATTAATTTCGTTGCATTGTGAATATCGTAAACTTATTAATTATTAATGCACATTAAATAAACTATTATATGCACAATTTGTTGACTGAAAACATTAAAACATTTTTGAAAAACATCATTTGAAAAACAGAACAGAAACGTTCACTCTTTTGATAAATCTGCATTTGTTTTTTGGCCTTTTTCTTAGGAACTCTCTACCTCTCTACCTTCTTCTCTGACTACTTTTCCATCACGTACGAAGTTCAGTGCGAAAGACCCATTTGTTTGCAAAATTCACTAAAGAGCGTTGTTGAACATCGCGGAAATAGCGCTTTACAAGCTAATTGATTGATCGATTGATTGATTGAAGCGTTCTTTTTGTGAACGGGGTTGTTAGTAATTTGGTTTGAAAAAGATTGAAATTTTCATGATATTTTTAAAGATAGACATCTATGAGAGGCAGGCATGTTCTTTGTCAGCATACTCAGACTAAGAAGGGTTTGTTTCTGTTACAAACACACCCATGAGAGCTCAAATCATAAGAAGCAATCATCTGATCACCGGTAAGTCGACTTGGGATAATGGTGTCAGAAGTCAGAACTCACAATTATAGGATTTGAGTATAGAAATATAACTATGGCACTTGAATTTAAAGTTGACATGACATGGAAGCATTCGTGTCATTTTATAATCAACCACAATTAATATTTATGTACCAGTTGATGATTCTCCTTCCAAATTATAATAAGTGCGTAACGACAATTTGGTTTTGCTTCTAACTAAAGCTTAAATTGTGAAGAATCAAAGTGATCATAATAGACAGAACCCAACCAATTTTTGCTTTTTGGTTATAAGTTCATATTTATCCTTATTCAAAGTAATCACTTTTAAAAAGATTTTTAAGGTCTCACGAAAAGTTTTAGTTTAATCATTTAATGATTAAAATGTCACGTTTGTTAGAAATTTGTTACGGAGTTGTTATCATGGTTCACCTTTATGTTTGCCCGTTCACAAAAGTTGAGGAAAGTTTCAACATTCAGGCTGTTCACGACATTCTTCATCATGGTTCCAATCTGTCCATGGTTGGTTTGGTTTTGGTTGAATGGTTTGGTTAGGATCTGCATTAAGATTAGATTAGGTAGGAGGTTACTTAAGTTACTTCGTTATGGTTTTTGGCTTTGACTTTTATATTTGGTTGGCGTTGGTTTGGTTTGGTTGGGTTCGTTCTTTGTTGGTTCAGTACATGTTAAACTTTTACTTGGGTGTTTGTTTTTTATCCAGGCAGCATGCTACTTGAATTTAATTAAATAAACTTTAGTGATTAGTCTTTAATTATCTTTTTTATCTTGACATTATTTGAATAATTAATAAATCATTAATAATTACATTAAATAATTAATAATAATTTAACATTAATATTAAATTATTGATATAAAAAGAAATATTAGACTTATTCTTTTCCTGTTTTGTTTTATGTTCTAATATTAAAGTTAAACCATGCCAAATAAAAATATATGAAATTGTGATTAGTATGATCATCTTGAGTTTCCTGGTGTTGTCCCAAGAACATTTCTTGGTCCTCTCATCATCGCCTTTTCTACATGGCCCTATGTCCAACTGACCACATTACTTGGCTCTGATAAATTTTTTCAACAGTACCTATGTAAGTAATTTTTTTTAAATTATTTTCTAAAAAGATTTGTAAAAATTTTAATCAGTTCTTATCATAGAAATCATATTTATAGGTCGAATTTGTCTTGGATTGCTTACTCTTTGTTCTTTCTTAACATTAAAAAAAGGAGTTGCCAACAAATTCGGAAGAGGCATTTCAACTTGGATGTGCATCATATCTATGGCTCAATTTCATTTCAATTTTTATGCAACTAGAACGTTACCAAACACCTTTGCATTAATTGGAGGTCGGAAAATATTTATCTCATGTTTTGTTTATCTTATAAATATATATCTATTAGTTATACTTTATACAAATTTATATGAATTGTTATGTGAATTTTTTAATAATTCATCAACAGCAATAGTACATTATATTTCCTTACTGCATGTTGACTTGTGCTTTTGGAAGATATTTTTATCATATCATTTAGATAATAGTGTTTATTTTCCTTCTTCTGAAAGTATGGTAAAAATTGACATTACTTAAAACAAATGTAATTGACCAAAATGACAATCATCCTCACGCAGTTATATGAACATTAATTCATTTCATAAATTTTTTGAGTAGCTATGCTGGCCACATCTTCCTGGCTTAGAAACAGACCAGCCTTAACAATATGGATCTCAGCATTCACTTGTGTCATATTCAGATCTGAACTTGTTATATTGCTTGGAATGATGATCCTGTATGACATCATTAGAAGGAAGATCTCATTTGGAAGAACTCTCCTTCATGGATTGGTGGCAAGCTTAATAGCAATCAGTAATTTTACATAATTAATTTTTTTTAAATGGTACAATATTTTAAAACTGCTTTTTATTTGATGGCAGTGCTAACAGTTTTGGTGGACTCATATTTCTGGAGAAGATGGTTGTGGCCTGAGTTTGAGGTCTTCTGGTTTAACACTGCATTGAATAAAAGCCATCAGTGGGGTGTATCTTTAACTTTGCCATCCGTGAATGAATGCATTCATCAACATGCAACATACATCATTTAATTGAGATATACACACTCGACAGACTCAACGCTTATTTATCACAATTATTAAATTTAATTTTTCATTGTTCATTTACTTAATAACTCAATAGCCTGTGTAATATCTGAAAGTAATATGCTGTAGCATATTACTAACATAACATAACTAAATCATTTGTAATGTTATTAATGTTAATAACATAACATAACTAAATCATTTGTAATGTTATTAATGTTAATAACATAACATAACTAAATCATTTGTAATGGCAGCATAGCATGTAAAAAACATTTCATAACCGTTCTAGATGTTCTTTGTTGCTTCCATTTTTCTTAACCTTTCATTGTACAGACCTCACCGTTTTTGTGGTATTTTTATTCAGCATTGCCAAGGTGTTTAGGCCCTTTCTATATTCTGGTACCTCTTGGATTATATTACAATCGTGACGTCATCCCACTTACGCTGACGTCATTCATATTTGTCTTCATTTACTCATTCCTTCCACACAAGGAGCTCAGATTCATTGTTTACGTCATCCCTCTCTTCAATGTTTCATCAGCTGCCTTCTGCCACAAACTGTTAGCTTTTCTTTTGCTGGGTTCAATATTCAATGATAATGTTTAAGGAATGTTTTGGAGTTGGGTTGTTTATTTGATTGTTATCATTGTATGAATCTCGATTTATTTTGTTTTTCCACTTTACGCAAAAGCTGGTTGACTCGGAACAATGGCACAGTAAGAAAATTATTTTCCACACTTTCTGTGGTCTTCATTGGTGTTACCGTTTGCATGAGCTGCATGTTTCTTTTTGTTTCACATTGGAACTATCCAGGTGGCGTAGCTTTGTTGTCACTGCAACGATTGAAAGCAAGTGATGAAGGTTGGAATAATAAAGATATTTTTATATTTCTGAAATGATGTATCAATGTAAGATCCTTATACATGTCACTGATGTCATACTACATTTCTCATTATAACTTCATTTTCAACGTGTTTTCATTCAACTTTTTCAATTTTGAGTTTTTCATTACGGAATTTTTGTTATGCACTTTTAAGTTAATTTTGATTTCATGTTGATTTTGTTTCTTGGTAGAAATTTTAGTTTATAGTCAGTGTTATAGAATCAATAATTTATTATAGGAATAATTTATGTTTATAAAATAAAATGAATAATTTCATTTTAGTGACATTGTTTTTATTGTCATTTAATGAAAATGTGAAAACGTCAAAAAATATTAAACAGATGTGCGCGTCCATATTGATGTCATGACAGCTCAAACTGGAGTTACAAGGTTTCTCCAAGTTAATCCAAAGTGGATGTTAGTTTAAGCTAGTTACTTCCTCAAGTTCATTTTATTTGGTGTTTTTTAGATAATAAATAAACTGATAATAATTATAAATCAGAATTAATATTATTAAATTAATAATTCTAGAATATAAAAAAATTATTCACTCTTTTAATACTGTATAGTGGGCTGAATAAGGTTGAATAGTATTCGAATATTACGTAAATTAGCACTTGGAGTGATAAGTCAACCTGGTGTTAAGGAAAAAATGTGAGAGCGGGAAGGATCTGTACGCCAAGGTTTTAATACTAAAGGTGTTTAATATTTAGGCAGCTAGTAATGATAGGTCCATTCAACAATTGGAAGTGCAAAACTTGACTGAAATGTTTCCATGTTACATTTTTTCAGATACAACAAAACAGAAGGTTTAGTTGAAGGATCAGATGAAATGTTATCATTCACTCATTTGTTAATTGGTGATGATGCTCCAGCATCGGACCATGCCGATAATATAGCCTGCATATCATATTACGAGAGAACTCATATAGTTAGCGACCAAATACTGGCTGTAGACGGCGTCAAACTTCTAAAAAGGCCTCCTTATATTGAGATAAAATTTAGAACAAAGATTTATTTGCTTGAAAAAATCAAACTTTATAATAAAATTTAGAATTCAACTGGCGTGGTTTTTATAATGTTTAGTTCAAAATTCATTCATTCAAAGATTTTACAATAGGTTGTTAAAGTTATTATGAGCATATATCGGAAATATATACATGTATATTTATTTATGCAATCGAATCTATCAAGTTTACCATAATCATAAATTTGACTTTGCCCTTTTGTTATCTGGTGTACCGAAGAAGTCTGCTAGGTCCAATTTCGTTTATTTCGTAAACTGCTGAAGTCTTGGAGATTATTCAGTCATATGGTTTCATAGGACATGCTCATGCATACACTGATGACGTTCAAATGAACAGCTTCTAGTAATTATTTCAGTTGGAAATTAATGATTTAATCGCATGTCATATGTGACATTATGGGAAACATGCGGGCAACACGTTGCGTACGTGCGGCATCATGAGTTTATGTATGAGTTTCTTGTAAATCGGCTTAATATTTTATATATGGCTTGCATAAGAGCCGCTGCTTTGCACCGCGTACACCTGTTATGCTGTTTGGCTGAGTGAGAAATGTTGCTGCCTGGATGTCAACCAATCTTCTTAGATTAAACCAATCTTAACAATCAATTTCGACCTATCTGGGTTGATTGAAAAGAGTTCGAGATCGTCATACATCGATGATTTTTTTTATTCTTTGTAATGCAACTCTGTCAACTGCTTACGTGTTACTCTTTAAACTGTCGTGCTACAAAGGCTGTACACTATTCACACCACACGACGCACATAGGGTACGCATTATGTATGCACGCACAAGCAGCGCATCATACGAGTATGATGGTCTTCGTGTTTCGGACAGACAGTATTCGAACCATGCCATCACGTAACAGCATCGCGAGACGTGGCACTTTTACTGACTGAGCTAACTCCGTGACCAAGTTGCATGCGATCCAGCTCTGAAGCGCTTGAAATAATATGAGCAGTAGCAAGTCGGCAAATTCTCATCTTTATTAATACTAACGTACTTGTGGATTCAAGTCGACACTCCCTTAATTGGCAGAGCAACAGTCCATCCCTCTCGAACAAAATGTACTTTTGTTAACTACTTAAATAACCATTTTAGTTTGCAGCAATATTGTATAATGAGATAGTAATTGCGCCAAGTTGGGACGAAACGTGTCTAGCTCGCCTAGAACAAGTTTAGTGTTCCCAATAGTGCCCCTTTAGTCGGGGTGAGAGAGGGTGCACTTTACCTGCCTGTAGTGGCAGGTATGGTGTTGGGAGAACATATTTTATAGAGTATCGTAAAGAAATCGTTTGAATTTTCTATCTTTGGACTTGGGTTAAATACTGTTCTTTGTTTTGATCCTATTTAACTGGCGTTCATTTGCCTTACGATACTGTAATCGTGTTTCGTTTGGTAGAATCGTCGTTGTGTTTGCATTAATTTTATTTAATATAATATAAATTTATTTATTTGTGCATCTACTTCAGCAAGATGGCTATGCCGGTTCCTCAGAAAATCGTGCTCAAAAACAGCACAAGTATGAGTTTAAATGACAGGTACGTTTTATTTGGCAGTGAGCACAGTGTGATATTCCATTGCTTTTTTAGTGTGTAGTGTTTGTGTTGATTTTGTTTATTTATTTATATTTATTTTATGACATGTTTTTAGTGACATATTTTTAATTAAAACTTTTTTCAGAGCGAGCTTATTTAATTTTCGCTATTTTCATTTTCAAGATTTCATGTATTGTTGTATCCATTCACTATTGGCTGTTTTAATTTTATATTTACTTATTTTATATTTTATATTCCTTATTTATTTTTATTATAATAAGTTTATTTGTTTACTGATAAATAAAATTGGGATTTCCATTTAAAATTTTCAATTGTATTCAATGTAGTCGCTACTATGTCGTCATTAATTAAATTAACTTTGTGTTTTATGTTTTTAAAGTAATAAATGATGAATAAGTAGATAGCAGGGCATAAAAAGCAGTAGGCACGACTTTGGGTTTAGCAATCTGAAGTCAAATAATACTTTTTGTAATTAATGTTGTTAAATCAGCCATTAATTTGAGTAATAATCACCGTTTGCACCAATTTTTCAGATTCACGAAAATCAATAAAGTTAGACCGCCTGTTGCACAGACTGTCACAGTGAACATGGCAAATCAACACCAAGCTGCCATCAAAAATAGACGTTTATCCCAACAAATGGCCAACAGAAACCAGACTTATGTTAATAATGATGTTAGTATATTTTAATTATTACCATGTTATTTGTTATTTATTATGTTTTTTATTAGATTGATAGCTAATAAGTTTATAATTTGTGTTCAACAGTATATATTTTCTCGTGTCTAATGTTTGATGAATTTATTTTATTATTAAAAACATTGCAGCAGTTGAAGCCACCTATAAAAAGTCGTTTAGGCATAGCATCTCGATTAGGATTCAAACCAGGTTTTGAACCTAGAAGGGGAAGACAAATAATTGGAAGTCTGCTTGGACAAAATGACTTTCCAGTATATACTCCTGTCAGAGGCAGGCCAATGAGAGGATTTTTTCAAGGCAGAGGACAAACAAGAGGTTTCAGTGACTTTCTTTTAATTAATTTATCTTGGTTTTGTCTCAACATTTTCGAAGTTATAATCATTAAATGGGTTAATGTGACTAACTTGTAAAGTAGATTATATTGCAATGTTGATATTATTTTTGTGAAAAATTTTAAAATCCTTGCTCAAAAATTTTAAACCAACTTGAATCTGGTTGCAAAAAATAAGAACAAACTTAATGTATATTTTATGGATAAAAAAACAAGCAGAAAAACGAGTGAGTGCCTGTGAACATTGCTTTTTTGCAAGATTGAGTGTGTCATCATTTAACGTTCATGCAGATTAATAATAACATTATTAAAAGAGATTGCTCCATATTCATTATTTCTATTCTGAGTGCTTTTCTTATAAATGATTGCAGTCTATTTCAATTGATCTTAAATTAAAACTCCTGCTGAATCAGATTTGAACAAATTTTGTCTGCACTGATATGGTGATTTGGTCTTTAAAATCAAACTACGTATTCAGTAAACATAAAAAGGATTTTGTTCTCGCATTTCTCACATTTCTCATTAAAGGGAAACAAAAGTTTATAATAGCACTTACTCAATAATTTGTTAGCTTAAGCTTTCTTTTTTCACCTAACATTAATATAAATTGAATTAAATTTATACAGTAAATTCCATAATAGCTGAATGTTATGTTACTTACCCTGCTTTCTGATACTTCTGTTACATTATTTTGTTGTTACATGAAAGTGTTAGAAAAATTGATTTTAATCATAATTAGAAATATTTTTTTATTTCCAGGTCAAAGAGGCTTCAGGTCAGTAGTTTAAATTCTTCACGAAACTCAAAAATCCCTATAATTTTATCAGTTTGTCATGTAGCAATCTTTAATTTGAACGTTTGAATTTTTCAGAGGTGCTAGACTAAACACGAGTTTCATCCCGATCTCCAACAGCACGCCATATGTCAGACGACCGTGGGGAGGCAGTAGAGGAGGACGAGGAAGAGGAAGAGGTGGTGGTGTTGCTAGAGGTGGTGCAAATGGTGTGAGAGCAAACAACAAAGTTGAAGTAACAAAAGATCAGTTAGATACAGAATTAGATGCTTACATGTCTCATACCAATTAATTCATATCTAGCAACATGTATAATTCTTCAAAGTATTTTTGTGTCGTTCGTTTGTATATTGAAAGTTTTTTGTCTCTATGTAAATGTCGAAAGATTTGTAACAAATCTCATTTAAAAATTTTCTGGGCCTATGGTGGTAAGATTTTGTTTAGAAATTGATTATTTCATGTATATGATATTCGTAGTTAATTATTTTGTTAGAACATTTGACTGATGCTATCAGTAATTAGATCATCTTATGAGCTGACCTAATATTCTGGTGGCATTGTTTGTCTTCAGAAAAGCATAGCTCAAATGTAAGAAATTAAATTCAAACTTTTTCATTACTCTGGCACAAAAATTTCAAAAACACTCAATAAAAAAGTTTGCTTTATTTATTTGTTTCAATTATGATTTTTTTTTATTTAATCAGCAAATTTTCTGACTGGCTGTGTATTTTTATATTTATAAAATGGCATCTTATGTACATTTTCATTAAGAAGTTTGATAAATAAATAAATGAATAAAAGTAAATATTATAATTAAAAATAAATCTGAAATTAGGTTGATAAAAATCTTAATGATGATAATGGCAACAAAACAATAATATCAAGAAGTTGTTGATAAAAGTAACTATGAAAGTTATGTACATAACGGTGAACGGACAAAATTTTCGCATTGAACACTGACGTTTAATGTACATACATATTGTTTCATTTATTTACAGGCTAGGTCATGAAACTACATTGTCTATATCACAGTTAATTCTTATAAAAACTCTAAATATAATTAAAGAGAAAAAAGATTTCAAAAGATGAAACAAGGTTGAACAAATTGCATAAATAAATTTCAAATGAATGGAATAAATTATTTAAAATAAATTTACAATGATAATTACAAAAGCAATCAAAACAAAATCTTATCCTTTTTTTGTCGGCTAAACTGTACATAGTTATTTTAATAATTTTGCATCCATATAAAATGAATAAATTAAACATTTAAAAAACTAAAAAAATAAAATTATATTTAAAATTAAATTTTGGACCTTGGAATTTGTTTCTTTAAATTAGGTATATTTATAAAAATGAATTAATAATAAGAAATATGTGACTTAGAAGAAACAGAAAAGGTTACAACTTTGTTATAACGTGCTTCATTGAGGATTACTAAGATATGAAAAAGCTTTCGGTGGCGTTCCAACGCTGAACCAACCACGTAGGCCACTCTAATTTATTTGTTGGGCATTGTATTGAGTTCTTTGTACTAACAACATCCACTTTTTCAAGTATAAATAAATAGATCCGATTTATTATGTTAGGATAGCCTAGGTGCGGAAATCGGACTTACCCTGCTTTTTTAAACGACAAGCTTGTTTGCCTCACAAAAATTCATAACTTTTTGCCTTCATTGTTCTGAAACACCAGTTGACTTTTTCTGTTTTCTGTTTAAACTTGCTTCTGACATTAACAAATGATAGGGTTAACATTTATCGACGTATTGTGAAAGGTCATCGAATTCAGACTTTTTTCTCATATTCACTCGTTTAAATTTCTTCATAAAGAAAGACCGTTACAATTTTTAAAATTTGTCCTATGTGCATGTCGGGGCTAGTCTAGAGATCATTTGTTTTTCTCCTACATCGTTGAAAGTAATTATTTGGGACTTCCCATCTACATTTAATACCTTCCAAATGAAGCTTTCCATTCTAATACCCTGTTCCTTTTTATTTGTTTCCTCATATATCGCAGCCGATACTTTTTAAGAGAATGTATTTACACTTGAATTGCTATTGTTCATGAGCTAAAAGTGTATTGTTAAGTTTAACCGCCATATAAAAAAATAGCTCATTGGTTCCTTCGTTACGCTGTAATAGGGAGAATAACGTAAATATATATACATCGTATCAATCTCAGATTTTGTACGGCGGTTTTTTGTATATATATCTACATATAAATGTAGATATATATATATATATAAATATATGTTGGAAGTAGACCATATTTTATAGAGTATTGTATGAATTCTACCGTATTGTTGGCATTAATCAATTTAAAGTTTGTCTTTTCAATTTTCCTTACCAGAATTTTTCTTTCTGGTAAGGAAAATNGAAAAGACAAACTTTAAATTGATTAATTCTTTCTGGTAAGTAAAATTGAAAAGACAAACTTTAAATTGATTAATGCCAATAATTCTACCGAATTCATATATATATATTTATATATATATGTATCTCTCTCTCTATATATATGTATCTATATATATATATATAGGCTGGAAATAAATTTAAACAGAATATTTTATTTTGTACATATTATCAAGTTGTTACGTAAGTTTCTTTTTCAAGTTTCGATAAGAAAGTTTGAAAACTTGAAAAAGAAGCGTAACAATCAGCTAACTTCTATCGAATTTAACATGCCGATTATCGCATAGAACCTGAAAGTTTTGATTTTTTTTTATCATCGGACAAGGTCACGGTGTTATTTTATAAAGTGTGGGAAAGAAAGCACGTTTGCTTAGCCACGATTTAGTTACATTCTCCTATAAGCTCATATTTGTGAATGTGCAATATGCCCAACTTCAACAATGCTTCATTGATGAACATTTTTTAACGATGACGCCTATCAAACTAGAGTACGGAAAACAATTCTAATGATTTCGCGTATGCATTTGTATTTCGTGTATTACGTAACTTTAAAAAATTTCAGGCCTTTATTTTTCACAAATTTCTAGAGCTAATCTCGTTGAGATATTTCCCAAATTCGATGGGCTGTTCAGCAAATAAGTAACAAGCATGCACTGAGCGATGAGCGTCAGTAATGCAGAATTCCATATTCATTGTACAGGAATCTTCATACTTTAATTTGGTATCACTTTTTATATATTTTTTAAGTGATAAGTGTGACATCTTATTAGAAAAGTGTGACATCTACACAACAGCCAAAAAAGCACATGTAAATATATATAATGGTAATTTTACATATATAATATATATATATGTAAGAGCACCTTTTCCTTGACAGCGAGATCCATAAAGACGAAAACCAGTGATAACAAATTCTCACGAACGGGTTAACGAGCGACATGATTTTGACACTTTCGATTTACTACTCCAGCTACATTAAGATTTCCTACGAAAAAGTTTATTGAAACAATTGCTATTTTTACAATTTTTTAATGGCAATATAACACTATTCAAAACCGCAGTCTAATTTCATAACTATCTTTCGAATCCAATCGCAAAACTTGCACAGCGCTTCCCATGAGCTGACTTCAGACGCGCTCTCTTCACTGTTTTCGCCGTAGGACTATGTCCAACGTTAGCATTGTAAAACATTCACACACACCAGAACTTTATTTAACCACACCCGTTCATACACCCATTCCTTAGCTTTAATTTAGAAAACGATTATAATTTTGACAAGTCTTACGAATAAGACTCAATCTGTTCATAACGTTCGTCGTAGAGCAATGTCGAACGTTACCAACGAGCTGCTAGGATTAACTTGTCAAGGCATTATACAGTTTTAACTATAAATAAAATTAAATAAAAATTGTTTTAAAGAAAGATCAGTCTAAAAAATGATGGGAAACAGATTTTTAATATAATTTATTTTTAATGTATCACTTTCCTATTCTACTTTGAATTTTGACCGCCAAGTTTTAAGAATAACCCAAGCACGTTATAACAAAGTTGTAAAAAAATTAGTTATAAAATTTGAATAAACGACCACAATTTATTAACAATTTCTTATCGAATAAATTACATGAGAAAAGATGAACTAATCCAAGTGAATCACAATCCTAATTTTGTTTTCCTTCTTTGAGCTGTTAACTTTTCAACGTAAGCGTCTATAAATTTTGACACCCTTGCTTGCGTGATGTCCTTGCTCTTGCTTTCTGATATCTGTTTGTTAAAAGTTATATTTTAAAATGAAACTTTTTACAGCCGATGAAATTAATCGTCTAAATTAGGCGGAGAGATACGATAGGATAGAAATTATCGAGTACTGCATATCCAAAATCGCGTTCTGGTGAAAAACATCCTCGCCTATCATACCTATGACTCGTTGTTTAGAACACGTGGTTAAGCATATGTTGTATTATTGCTAAAAGTTGAACTCATATCTGCCTCTGGTATATATATTTAAACTTCCAATTCTAAATGATGTATAAATATATGCAATATGAAAAACATTATTAAGTTCGAAAATTTAAGGTGGCTTTCGTAAAAATTAGAAAAAAATATAGTACAGTTTTCCAAATCATCTATTGAAACAGAAGTTATTAAATTTTGTTGCTTAAAGGCACATGTAAATGGGTGAAAAAATATATTGAATATGAATTGTTTGTCTAATGAGCTAAAGAATTAACACATGGCCACCAAATTTTCAATACAACCTCTTCTCAACTCGCCACCACTGAAAAGATTAAAGCAACGGAACGTTGAAAATTTAGTTAAGCCTTATATTTTAAAGTTGATTTCATACAAAAAAGAATTTAGAAAAAACAGTTAAAGGTTTTATCATTCCTTCCTAATTTCAGAGGAATCAACAACGCACAACAACGTATAAGAATACGTGCTAAACGACGCACCACATACAAAGCATGTGATAGACAGGGATCTCCGGTCACTTCACGCACTGCAAAATAGGACCAGGCGCCTTTAACCACTAGGCCGTCACGTCGCCATAATTATGGATATCATTGAAGCAAACTTAAAACTATTTTTTAAAATTAAAACACCAGATTTAGTCGTTCTGATTTTTTACTTATAAATTCGAAAATTTAAGATGGTTTTCCTAAAAAATCATAAAAATTTTAAAGGACTCGAAAATAGGTGAAGAAATAGAACAAATGTAAGGCGATAGTGAGGCGGTGTTTAGCGATAACGAGGCCGTGTCTATTTTTTGCACTTACTGAAATTACTATAGGAGTTTCATAAATATTTGCATAAGGAGTTTCTAAAAACTTGCGACTCTTTTTGGTAACAGGACATCAAAAAAAAGATTTTATAAATTACTTTTATAATATATTCGATAAACTTTTTCATTAATTTAAATGTCTGTGATATTAATTCCAATATAAATTACGTTATCGGTCAGCAGATATTTGAGGGTTGGACATCAAATGCAGCTTGTTTGTAAATAATATACACTTAATATATTTTTTAGACTTAGAGTGTTACAAAAATTGCAATACAACTTGACAGTAATTAAAAAATTGCCATGGAAAGAATTAAAAAAAAATGAATAAACACTTCTAAGTGAGAGTTCTGTTGATTTAAAACTGTAATTATTTATTTATTATTATTTATATTTAAACCGTTACTTATAGATGAAAAAGCAGTCTATATATACAGCCGAGTTAATTATTGGATTGCAGTATGCATAAGATTTGAAACTTAAAAACAATAGTGCATTATTGGGAATGTGTTTGAGTTCTGACAAAACAGATAACACGGACATCTATTTGAAAATTAAATTTTTAGTGTACTACATGTTGATATGAACTTTATTTTGATAAATTTTCAGATAACTTGCAGCCCCTATAATCAGTGCCGACTGATTTACAGGTGTGGAGACTCTGAGGCAACGGAAAAGTGGAGGCCTCTAATTATTTAATGGAGGCCGAAATATTTTACTTATCTGTTCATAATTATTTTAATTTTGTGGAGGCCCGAGACCTGCCCCGTCCTAAATCAAAACAAACAAATTGTAAAGTTGACAACGAAACAAACAACAATACCTTGGTGATGGCTTTCCTCATAATGACCTTGAACTCTTGACTAGTAACCGCTCCCTTATGATAATGGGATTTCAGGGCGTTCCTTGAGTACACTATAATTTTGTCTTCCAAGGCTTTTGCATCCAATTGTTGCTATTAGTGAGAGTCGTATGTTATAATCATTTATAAAAAGTTATTCAAATCATTGAGTTTTATAAATATTCCATAAATGTGATTCAAACAACTTGAAAAAATATTTATCACAAGGAGCTGCATTAGGAAAAATGCAAAAGTAAATTTAAGAATGAAAATTAAATAAATTGAATGTTTTTTTAATCAACCAATTTAGTATGAAAGCGGAAAAATAGCTAGGGTTTTCAAGGTTATTGTTTATCAGCCACCTGATTCTTCTTCCTTCAGCTCTTCACACCATAACAATTTTAAATCAGACACAAATATTTTAAAAAAGTTGGGTTTGAACGAACAAACAAACAAACCTTATCAGGTGGTAAAACATTTGTTTTATCATTATTTGCGTGTTCATTCATTGTTTTTACAGATGATGGTGTTGATGAAGATGGTGATACCACTCTGTTGTCACAAGTGTTGTTATCATTAGAGTTTGCAGTGCATGGTGTTCTGTTTAACATTTCAACTTGAAAGTCATTATGGACTGCTAAATTTGCTGTGTCATTAGCATTTGCTGTCTTGGTGCAACTAATACTAGCATCTTCAACATTGCTCTCATCAAGTGACTTGTTTTGTTCATCCTCAGCCAGCAATTCCTTTTGAATGGTTATAAGCATTTCCATAATTTTGATTTCTTCTTCCAATTTCAACAAAACTGATGACTCTTCTTCCTTCAACTTCTTATACTCTTCATAACTTAACATTGCAGCTCTCTTCCTACTCAATAACTCATCATCAATACGATCCTTATCTAGATCAACAGATACAGCAGCATCAGCTGGAGTGGACAGCAGAGGCTTACTAGTTTGACTCATTTTATTGAAATCTGCACGACGGTATTGATCTTGAGAACTGAGAGAATCTGATGATGGTGGGTTGGGAAGGAGAGCATTTTTACAAGTTTTGTCTTGCTGATTGATGTGAACAGGATCCGGTAGAAGTGAGGATGCTGGTCTACTTGTTCTTGAATACGATGGCCGTGGTGATGGTAAAGAAGATGTTGGAGATTGAAATGGCGATGAAGGAAGAGGAAGCAGACCCTTTGACTTGTTCTTCTTATTGGTGATCATTTCTGATTGAAGGAAAAATCAAAATCCGACTAAGATTACATAAAATTGAATAATATTTAATCACACTGAATTTGAATAAATTTTATTCATTTGTTGCATTTCAACAGTTTTCAGTTACATAAATGAAAAATCATATAAAATAGCATTAAAAAAACTGATTTTTAAAAAATAAAAAAATCATGAATAAACTAAAAAAACGTTTATTTTTTTAGACATGAATTTAAATTTGAAAACATACCTTGATGAAGAGATTGATAACAGCTGTTGGGTACTAGAGGTCGAAGAATGTCCAACATGTTGGTCATTTGTACATCATCATTCTCATCACTTTGATATTTATTACGATTAAAGGATTTGGAGCTGCTTGGTTTACTGTCAAATTTTTAATTGAACTTTCACGTAAATTAAACATTACTGATTAAAAAAAAACTTAAGAAAATTATTTGTTCAATTTTAGCAACTGTTTTTATAGATCACAAATAACAAGTAGATTAATGTATTTGTGTTGTTGGACCATTGTCTGACAGTCTAAAAAATCAAAGAAAAGTAAAATATAAATCAAACATGAGGGCACACCTGATTTGTTCTTGAATGTGGAGACAGATATCTGAGACCTGCCGTCTGGTATGGAAGTTTAGAGAATCATCTTTTTTTAAAATTTCTTTAAATGCATCTAAAAATTTTCTTTTGAGAGATTTATCTAAATCGATTTCATTATTTTTAAGAGGATGGCTATTAATGTTATTGTGAACAGTATCGACCTTATTGTTGATGCCACTCATCTTACTGTTGTTACTAAATGGGCTGCTATTTTTGTTGAAAGTACTGTAGTCAACCTTATCTTCATTACATTCCACACCAGACGATAAATTATTGAGTCGATAATATCTCTGTTGTTTATTGTTATTGTTGACAGGATTCACATAGTTGTTGATGTTATTATTGATTGCATTTGCTTTGTTGTTGATGTTACTGCTGATGCTGCCTGTCTTATTGTTCTTCATGAGCATGCTGTTATCCTTGTTGCCAGCACCATATTCAGCCCTGTCATCATTAAATCCAATGTCAAAAGAGGCATCACTGGACCAATTATATCGCTGAGGTCTGCTGCTGTTGTTATCATCAACAGAGTTCACTTTATCATCTTTTTCATTCTTTAAAGCATTAATTTTATTATTATTGCTATTATTGGCAGTAACAATTTTATTGTTGTTACCATAGGAACCACTCCTGCTATCATTCTTGTTGATGCTACCATAGCCAGCTTTACCATCATCGAATCCAGCATCAAATGGTAAGTTACTGAACCAATTATATCTTTGTGGTTTGTTGTTGTCAATAGTGTTCACCTTAGTACTGTCATCACTTTCAATTGGCATCCTGTTATTGTTGCTTCTGACAGCATTGCTACTCTTATTATTATTCTTGTCCGCATTATCATAGTCTGCTTCGCCATCATCACACCCAGCATCAGTCGATAAATCGTTGAACCAATTATATCTCTGTGATTTCTTGTTATCACTGACAGTCGATTTCGTACTGCTGTTCTTATTGTTATCGACATCATCACGGTCACCATCATCATCACATCCATCACCATATGGCAAATCATCAAACCAATTATATGGCTGTGGTTTGTTGCTGCTCGTTGCTGCAGTAAATTATTCAACAAATAAAGTCAAAAAGTTTAGAAGATTCAAACTATGAGTGAAGTGTAAGATCAGATATGTAATGTATGAAAGGGTCTGGTACAACTGAATAATTAACATAAATGTTTGGTGGCATTATGAATATCATACTCTAAAACTCACTGAGAAAAAAAAGTTAACCTTATAAATTTATTCAGATCTATGTAACCTTATCAAGGCTTTCATTAAATAACAAAAACAAAACTTTTTGCTTCATATACATTAGAGGGTTTACAAATTTTAAGCTTAACAGTTGTAACAATTGAAGTAATTCAATTTATTATACCTAGCCTGAAGCTTCTCAAATTTGAATAAATAATATTGTTGTGGCTGTTACTTTATTTTCACACTGCATCTCATATATTCTTAATTTATCAGCCTTTCATTAATGATATCAATTTATTTTCTCCATAATAATAATAATAAAAACAACAGTCACTTACAGTTGTCACGTGAGTTGAATCTGTTGTTATTAATGTACTGTCGGTTCATTGCACTCAAATCATTCAAACGTTTGTTGAGTTTGTTGCCATCATCATCTCTGGACTTGTCGTAGTTTCTCCTCCAACCAGATGACCGATCTCCATCTCCTCCATTCTTGTAAAAATTGAATCTATCCCTGTAGCCAGTATTCTGGTAGTTGTTTGCCTGGCCATAGCTCTGAACTCTACCTCTTATTGCTGGCTGGTATTTACTGTTGAACTCTAATGGTTCGGCTGTATCAATTTTAGCTAGCACACTACGAGCTTTATCTTCTTCTGTCAGCATCTGTAAATTAATTATGAAACAAGACGTTCATTCATTTACCATAAAAAAATATTCTACTAATTTCGTATAATAATAATAATAATAATAAAAAAAAAAAATTAATTAATTTCAATATTAAGAATGTCACCTGATTAATCTTCGGAATTCGTTTGACTTGGTTGGACGACTGCTGTTTGACGGGTTTAATACGTATGGTGTCTTGAAGCTTCTTTAACACTTCTTCTTCCTTTGTTTTCTTTTCATTCACTTCTCTCCTATTTGACTTGGATGAGGATATAGATGAATATTTGGATTTCTTATCTAAAGATGGCCTCATCTTCTTGTCCTGCTTTTTCGTACTTTCAACTTCTGGATGCTTTGATTGAGGTGTTTGTGAGGGTGGATTGATCTTTGGCTTAATAAGAAAAATAATAAGAATTTATTGAAAATAAATTAATGTTTAGTCATTATTTTTGGAAAAGTAATTTTTATACCAAAAAATGATTCTAGCAATCAAAATCTAGGTCAAAGTATTTTACATTTATTGTATATTTATACTTTTGAGTGTAGCAATACTAGCATGTTAAAATTGAAGATAACATATTTGACATTTTTACACAGTTTAAGATAAACAAAAAACTACCTTATTAGATGTGTCAGTTTTCTTACTCAAATGAGAATTTTTGTCAAAATTATCAACATTTGACGTAGTGGAAACGATTGCTGAAAATATTATACCTTTATACAATAGATGATATATATTACTGTTGAACCAAACACAATTAAATTTATCAATAGTATCTACCAAATACTTGAGTTAAGGAACAGCAATATAAAAATAAATAATTACATTCTAATGCAACAGAAGCCACTTAAACCTGATCATGACTAGTAAAGATGAAAGAAATGTTGACAAAGTTTAACTTTTCACTCAAGTGCAATGTAATTTATCTCAAAAACTTTGCATTATTTCTTAATCAAAGAGTAAATCAATACTATGAAATAAAGGCAAAAATTACAAGGTCTATTTTTTATGGATGAATTCTTCAAATCCTTGAGTTAATTTTTAGGGATTTTCCCACTAGACTTTAGGGCCCTGCTGCCTTTCCATCCTTCATAGCTTTCAGAGCTTCTGTAAGCTCCTCTACAGTGATGTCTGGATTTGGACCTTCGATGGGTGGAGCGTCAAAATTGACATTGATGGGATTTGTTTCATTTAACAGATGATTGAAATATTCTTTCCACTGTAGCTTGATCTCATCTTATTCAGGTATAAATGAAGTGAATAAATTTAACTACACGTAAGCAGGGAAAAAACAGCAAGAGGAACCATAGACAGAAATTAATGATGCACGATCATGTTGATAGTAAGCCAGATCAAAGTACAGGAATTAAACAGCTTAGGAAAAATATGAATTCAGACTGATGTAACTAAATATGAGCTATATTCTCAAAACAATGGACAGTCAATTTTAGAATAAGAAACAGCACCAGAACACAATAACGTTGCAATTTTTAGGCAGCCCTCTACAATTGAAACTTATATCTTAATTTATAACATCTTTGGAAAAATATGCCTTGACGTGAGTAAATCCTACATTTTCAGCAATTTGCTACAAGCTTCCTCCTTTAACACCCTGGACAGCACTTGCCAAGATTTCTTTTATTAAGAATTTCTCACTTAATTCAATCAAGATCAATATTATTAAACAATGAAGACCATTCTTCTTTCACATTAATTAATAGAGCAATTTCACAGCATTAGGTTTCAGAGCACTTCTGTCTATAAAACTTTTGTCAAAATAACCCATAACAACATGCAAGAGTAAAAAGAAATGCTAATGCCCCTAGTAAAAATTAGCTGTTGTAATCATAATCAGCAGCTCTCTTAAGCTTGGTTTTCATTCAAAAGCCAATTGATGGCCTCACACTATATGAAAAAAACAGAATTTTTTTATATTAATTTATCTTCTTTGTTGAAACAGTTGTTTTTAAATGGACAAATCACACAATCATTACGTAAGCAAATTAAAAAATTTGAGCAAATACTTGTTTTTAGTTCCTCACTAAACGAAGATGATGTTGATAATGGTTTTGAGTCATTTCTGTCAGTATATATATTAGGACTATTTTTCAGCTGCTGACATATTTTACTTACATCAAAATCTGTCAAATTTTTCAATCTGACAACAGGTTGGTACTTCTTTTTGTTACATTTTGCTGATGACATTTGCAGTGTCGTTCTCAAAGATGACCAACCAGAAAATGAAAAACTTTTGGAGGTCAACAGAGATGTTGATGAAACTGTCATATTTTCCATACAATTTGTTGCATAGCTAGAATCCTCTATCTCTTTTGCAGGGGTTAATATAGAAAATATATTTGAACGAGATTTGAAGGGGGTGGAATGTAGTGTGGATGTTACAAGTGATGTTTTTGTAGTTGATGTAGTTGATGCAGTTGATAATGGCGATGATACTACAAATCCAATACTTGACGATACTGTCGATGATGTTGATAAAGAGGTTATTACTTTGTTACTATTTTTCAATGGATTCAAATCACTTTTCTCAGAACTAAATTTTTTAACTTTCTTGTTTGATAAGAGATGAGATGAACTTGTCATCGTAGAGATAGTTGAAATAAAAGATGGTACTACAGTGCTCAACTTCTCACCACAACTTACATTCAGTTTTGTTTGAATAACACTTCTATTATCTAATTCATTTTGCACTGTGTTAAAATCATTGCTAAGTTTAAACTGTTTAACTTTATCGCTTGACTCCAAAGTTGCTTTGTCCATAAGTTTTCTCTTTTTTTCAACACACAATGGAATCAAATTTAATTTATCTAAATTTAAAATTCCTTTGCAATCAACCAACTTTACAAAACAATTTTGTCTAAGTTTTTCATCATTTGTTAATAAATCTGACAATTCATAATAAACATTTCCATTTTCAACGTTATTAACATATTGCCTGCTGCGTACACTCTCTTCATAAGCAGTTTCATTGGTCTCTAACTGATCATCATTGATATTATCAACCAGCTGAGATATGGTGTTTGTAATGTCATTCTCAATTGATTCTATCTTGCCTTGCTCTCCAGTCTCATCATCTGAAAAGCCCAGGTCGGGCGGTTCAGTTTTTACATTTTCAACGATTACCAATTCATTTTGACAAAAGAGATTTCTCGGTGACTCAAATAAGGATCTTGAAGAAATATTTTCTTGTTGAGGCTCATACATGAAGGCTGGTTCAACCTCATGATCTTCCCCATTACAATTGACATTGTTACTAACAATTTTATTCTCGTCTGCTGAAAAGCCTTCATCTGGAATTCAATAAACAAATTAGCACAAAATTAATTTTTTACCATTAAATAATTAAAAATGCAAAAATAACCAAACCATTCATAATATCAAGGTTTGAAGGACTGTGTTTCTCACTGCCATAGTTAGATTGGGTTGGTGTCGTTGACTGATTCACTTCAGATGGCGAATTAATAACGGCATTTGCCAGCATTTCCAACTGAAGCAATTTCAAACTGTCCATTTCCGACATTTTGCAAACAATACTGAAAATAAAAATTGGTTGATGGCTTGAAGATGAGATGAGGGCTAGGAAAAACAATCGTATTATCGTTCCCTTAGCTAAGATAAGCGAGTTAAAACATGAAAAGATCAACAACAACAAATTAATTTAAAAAATTTTTAATAAATTTCAGTTAGCGCATTACGTAAACTGCAAAAATGAAGAATTTACACAAAACAATTTAAAATTAACTTGATTTTTAGCATAGATAATGAAAAAATGAGAACTATTATTGTGGTTAACCAATTAGCCATTCAACTAAAATTTCTATGCTCAGTTGTTAAATACGGTTTCGTGCTGGTTTCAATCAATCAATCATTAAATCAATAATTAAATCAATAATTAAATCAATAATTAAATCAATAATTAAATCAATCAATCAATCAATCAATCAATCAATCAATCAATCATATAAGGCTATACATCAAAAGCTTTAGAACTAGGAGCGTGTATCAAAAGCGTATTGTAAGATATCAATGCTTATCTGGAGTCAACCCTAGATAAGCATTTATAGCTAGGCTGACTCTTTTACTTTTTTTGTGAATAAATGGAATTAAAAAAAAGATACCACAACATACGAAGTAACTATTAAGTAATTAACTATGTAACATTCAAAATCGCTATTATTCCTATGATTTCAAGTTTTACAATATTAAATAAATAAATCTATCGTTCGATTGATACAACCAACATTCATTAACTCATTCGTCCATCCATCTATCCATTCATTCATCCATTTATTCATCAATTCAATTAATCAATAAATCAATTTGGATGATGGACACCTTTATCCTTCTATTGTTGTGAGTTGTGACTGCGTGGATTCATATGCATTGCTGCATTCCAATGCGCTGTGTGTGTGTGCTCGAGAGGAGAGAAATAATATTAATAATATGCAAATGTAATGATTAATGGGTCTGAAAAACGTAATGGAGATATGAAGAATCTTCCTAAAGTTTTATAGCAAAATTATGTTATTTCATTTTTTGTAATTTTTATGGATAATTATTGGAAACTGGATGGAAAGCATTTAAATTCAAATCACATTCGCTAAAATAACTGATAGAACAATGTCCTTGACGTTTCTTTGTAATAATAATTGGAATGATTTCTCTTCGCATTCACTGACACTTTTTGGAAAGCAATTAAACCGTAAAATCAGAGTTTGTGGACACGGTGAGGATGTTTTTAAAAAATTATTTTAAAAAGTTAACGCTGAAAATTGCTTAGTATTTTACATAAATTTTAAGAAAATCCATTGGAGCAAATTAAGCAATAGGCAAATATTCAAATATTTATTTCGTCAAATCATATAAAACAAAAATTTAAAAAATAAAATAAATTAATAAAACGTCTATATGATGAAGGAATTTCTTGTTGAAAGACGGTTGAACTTTAAAACGTACGAATGAAGATAAAAATGTGAGTGAATTACATTACATTACATTAATGCAACCTTCCATTCACACACACACACACACACACACACACACACACACACACACACACACACACACACACACACACACACACACACACACACACACACACACACACACACACACACACACACACACACACACACACATCCAAGACACACACTCACGCACACATATATATGTATATTTGAAAAATTTTCATATAATGTTTTTATACATTTGTGGATTCTAAAAATTTTTGTTCACGTGATGTTATGATGAGAGGCTTGAATCGAACCATGTCACATCATATCACAGACTCCGCCCTTTGTGATATTTTATCTCCAATTTGAAAGCGTTTAAAGATGTTATTAAAAAAGTAAAACTGTTTTATCGTTATGCACCCGGCAAAAATTATATTGAAACGTGATATATCTATTTATTTAGAAAAATAAAAAAAATTATTTATGTTTATCAGAATATCAAGTCTATGATTTAAAAGAAACCAATGTTGTGACCTATTATCACCCACAGGGCACTATCAAATCGGTGTCGTCTTGCACTGTCGGGTTTTTTGTATTTGAACATGTCGTCTGCCTTTTTCACTTTGATCGGCAATTAAAATAAGTTTTTAGGTTAATATATTTTCTCTAAAATATTTTTAAAACTTTAATTTTTAAATTAAATAAAGTTTTTTTTGTTGCATTTGCCTACAATTGCAAATAGCAATAGCCTTGTTAGTTAGTCCTTAGCTTAGCAAATGGTTCTTATTTTAAAAATTATTTAATCTAAAACATAGATTTTAAGTTATTATTTGTCTTTTATTTAGGAAAATTTTGTCTTTTTAATTTAGTTTTAGTTGATAAACTTCAAAGTTGATGTTTTGTCCTATGTTAATTCCGTTGTCATAAAAAACCATAATTATAATTTCTGTAATAATATAATTATAATATAAATATAAATCATAATTAAACTAGAAAGGAAAATCAAATCAGTAACAAGGTGATGTGATTGATGTCTGTGATACCTGATATGTGATGCAATTAATAAAGAGATCTTGATTTTATTGGAAAAATCATTTAAATTATTTAATAATAAAGTTTTCCAAATTTTTTTTCAGATATGAATGATCAGAAGAAGAGGAAGAAAAAGTTACTGTGTGGAGAGTCTGGAGAAGTTGTGCTTTCACTATCATGTGAAAGCGTCAAAGAGGCCGAAGATGAAAATGTTGATTGCTCAAGGAGTCCACTCACTATAAATGTGGCCAGCAACTCATCCGCAGAGTTGAATGGTCATGTGGTCTGTGAGGAGGCCAATGGTGCTGTCACACAAGCAGAAGAGCAACTTAGTAATGGAATGGTGAATGACAGGCTTGCAACCTTTAAACCATCCCTTCATTCCAACAGTGATGGTTGCATCATCAGTCCAGACAGCTGTGAAAAGTTTGTTCTTCCAAGTTTTTGCTCGGCTTATTTTTGCTTATTTTTTTCTTTTTTTTTTAAGGTCTGCTATTGCTTTTTTAAATTAACAATAGCACCAGAAATTTTTTGAAAACTGATTTAATTAATTTGTTAAAATGATTTATTATTTAGATCATTTTTTTAAAAATACTTCTTAAGGTTTAATGTAGTTTTCATTGTTTATGTCCATGCATTCTGACTTTCAAATTCAAATTGCAGTTCAAAATTTGAATCTAGTCATTGTAAGTAGTGAGAAAGAGAGAGGGTTGTACATATACATATGTGAGGGGATCTCTTAAAATATGAGCTAATCATACTGTTATAATACTCGCTGTCGTAACCGATTTACGATGCGACGGGTTCAAATCCTCGATTGAATAAAATATTCCAAACAGTTATTAAACTTTATTTACAGAAGAAATCAACTATTATTAGTTATTAAACTTTATTTACAGAAGAAAACAACTAATCGTTTATTTCCAGTAAATTCAAACTAACCCAACAATTAACTTTTAAATCGTTCAAAATCTATCGCTATGACAACGTCAACAAACAAATCAAATATGCTTTAAATAATTCACCGAATCGCTATTCACAAAATCACGAATTTCACTAATCACGAATATCACTAATCACGAATATCACTAATCACTTGCGACGTGCGCTTATATACTCTTCGCAAGCGTCGTTTCTAGATTCTTCTAGATGTCGGATTCTAGCATACTCCAGAATGCTCCAGTCACTAGAACATTCTAGAATACGCTAGAATCTAGTGCGTTCGGTAGCACGGTTATAACAATACATTATCTGCGACCTGTCTTACTCCTCATGTTGATGAATATATAACTGAAGATTAATTTTTTTAATGGTCACATAAACTCATAATGAAGTATGAGAGATGTTGAGCCAAGGCAAGGCACAATACACATATAGGGTACTAATTTAAAGGAGAGATGAACATGGGTGTTCAAGCAATAGTGTTGTAATGAATTTTAAATATTAATACTGCTGGTAGGATGATGCTGTTAACGTTTATGTTACACCTACCTACCAACCATAATTTCAACCTTTAAAAGGTTTCATCTTAAAGCTAATGATAAACTTTTTGATTGTTTCTCATTCTCAATGCAGAACTGATCTGTGTTCTCAGCTGAAAACATTTGATCAAAGAAACAATAGTAAATCGTTTTGGTGAGCATATATAGACACTTGAAACGCCATCACTACATCATCGTAATTATAATCATTCCATCATCATCTCCACCATCATCATCATCATCCCTTCATCATCACCACCACCATCATAATCATCATCTTCATCCCATCATCATCTTCATCATCACAATTTTATTGCATTAATAATTATTTATCTCCATAACTGTTATTTCAAACTGCTGCCAGCTAAAATGCATGTTACCAAATTGTGACAATAAATTTATTTAATAAATGGTCTCAATTTTTTTATTTCTTAACCGTTATTATTGTAATTAACTATCAATGTTATCGTCTTTATCATCATCCCATCAATGACATTAATGTGTTATGAATATAAGTGAATGTTAATGTAATTAGGGGATGTTATATTATATTATAGGATAAATTTACTTTCAAAAGTATCCAAAATCTCTTTGTTAATTTGATTTGAATGGTGTTTGTTAGTTAATCTTATTTGTTAACATTATTTCTTTCTTAATATAAGCTGTTAACTTTAACACAATAATTTTTTTTACTTGCATTTGCCTACTACTATGGTATTATCATTAATATTTTTTTTCCAATCACTGCCATGTCATGTTCCTTCATGTTGTTCATAAGTTATTGAATTTATTTGTTTTTTTTTTGGTTCAGTGGATTGGATTGGTACACAGAAATCACAATTTCCATATTTACTTATTGAATGTATGCGTGTGTGTTTGTTTATGTGTGCTTGTGTTATGCATATGTGTGTGTGTGTGTGTCGTGTGTGTGTAAATTTTGAAATTTTGTTACTGTCACTGACATTTACAATATTATTTTTAGAGTATTATTTTTTTCTATAGTTTCAAAGTTATTCTTCAGGTTTTTTAAATTTTTTGATTTCCTTATTTTTTTATCTGATTTTTGAAGACAAAGGTTAAGGTTATAAAAAATAATGTCCTTTAATCTTTGTCTCCCAGTTCACGTTGTATCACAGTTCACGTTGAGACTGTGTGGCTAGGAATTTAGTTATATATCCTGTGTATGTGTGTATGTGTATCTGTGTGTATGTGTATCTGTGTGTGCGTGTATGTGCATCTGTTTGTGTACGTACGTGCATCTATGCATCTATACATTCACTTAAGTGTATATTATTTACATGTATATGTACTGGATGTTATAGGTTATGTACATAGATACATACATGGATACATACATACATTTTTTATTATATACATCAGATGTTGCTAAAATGAGTCTTTCTAAGCGTTGGCCAATTGTTTGCTGGTAATTGTACAGTGGATGTCAGGTAAATATCTGAGGTTAAATCGTTCTAAAACTCAATTGCTCCCAGTGGGGACCAAGTAACAGTTGTCAAAGTTTAACATAAGTTCAATAAGAGTTGGTGAAGTTGATTTTAACCTTTGCTTCAACTGCGCTGAACCTGGGCGTCTGGTTGGATAACAGGCTCACAATGAAGCAACATATTAAAATGCTATCAATCACGAGCATGATTCAATTTTTGACAATTTGAGAACATTTTTTAATTAGTACTAAATAAATAAATTCTTAATAATAATAATTATAATAATACGTGCATACATACATATATACAAACAAACAAACAAGCATACATACATACAAACAAACAAACAAACAAACATACATACATACATACATACATATATACAAACATATATACAAACAATCAAACGTACATACTTCATATCACATGGTCTTATGGAAAACTCAGTTGGTGATCATGTTGAGAACGTGCAGAACTGTTGCATCATCACGAGGTGGCATGTTCTTATTATGCAATGATCATTCTTCATTTCGTGATTTGTTATCTTATGTTTCCTATTTGGAGTTTTTTTTTTTAGTTTTTGTGACCCACTTTTTTTGTTGTTTGACACATTTCCATTGTTTGGAGGCATATTAAATAAATAATTAGATATACAAATACTGCTGGTCTAAGCAATGTGTTCGGTTGTTGCATATCGTCAGCCCATTCAAGAACTGATCATGACCACGTGATCATTTCAGATAAAATGATTTCGCATTGCTTATAAATTTATAAAACTATCGATAAAAATTATTGTAACGTTAATGATTATAATGATGATGATATTAAATGATAATAAATAAGCAGCAAACACAGGCAAGAATGAAACTGCAAGAATAAAACACAATAACGTTTAATAACTGGACCATCTTGTTTCTTAATGTTACATATTTGCACGCAGACAAACAAACAGACTCAGACAAACAAAGACCGACACGCAAAGAAACACAAAAATACATGGCACACTCACACACTCACACACACACACACACACACACACACACACACACACACATACAAAGTTACGGACACACAAATGATCCCAAATTTCAGTGGTGTGACTGTTCTTATTTGAGATTATATTCATTCGCATGCCATCAGTTTATAATCCATCTTTTAAGAAATGTAGTTTGTGCTGTTGACAATCCTGGCGATTGTTAACTTATCAACTCAACTTATCAACTTGATGTAATAGGTAGAAATGTTTGGCATTGATTAATGGTTTCTCCAATCTACCTGTGTTTGTTTTTCTACCAAATTTTATATACAATATAGTATATTATATATATATATATATATATATATATATATATATTTATATATGTGTGGCTGTACTTATTAGGTCATTCAGCTGCATTACCTTTGTGCAATCCTTGTACATTTTTTGAGTGTTCACATTTTGTGCCCTTTGTTTTTATGTGTGAACTCAATATTTTAAAGTTTATTTAATGGTCTAGGATTCTTTATATATGGTTATGCTTGTTGGGTAAAAGAGTGTATTTTGTTTATGTTTATTACTCCACATGTTTGCATGTGTGTGTCGCGTGTGTGTGTGTATAAATGTTTTTTCATTGCTTACAGGTTTTTATGGGTGTGCGTTTTCTGTTCAGGTGTTGATGTGTTGTTGTGAATTCTTTACACATAATTCTTCATAAATTCCAACACAATACAATAAACACATTTGGCATTCAATGCATGTGTATGTGTTGTATGTATTGTACGTACATGTGTGGGTTACATGTATTTTGTTTTGTATGATGTTCCTTGCTTAGAGTTATTAAGTGCCTCAACTTTGAGGCGCTATTATATATTTTTTTTACATCTATCATACCCACAATTACAAAATATGATGTCATGTGTGATATGTGATATAGACAGTTTGAATGAAATAATAAATATTGACATTCTGTACACTCCTAACTTAGTACTTGAGTTCAATTCAACTGGCCTGCCTGTTGTTCGCTGAAATGAAGTGTTGTTGCGAGTGTTGCTTCTCTACCATGGTGGTGCTTTTTGTTTGTTTGTTTGCATGTTACTTGCGGCAATGTTTCTGCTGATATATATAAATAAGTGAATGAATAAATAAATAAATTCATTAAATAATAATTAAGTGAATAAATAAATAAATAAATAATTAAATGAATAAATAAATACACATAAATACCAGTGATTTTATAGCTAGTTAAAGGTAAATATTTCAGTTATGTAAATGTTTCAGTTTCAAATATGTAAATAATAATGCTGGATAACATTTATTTTCAAAAGTTGTAATGTTGTTAACAATTGATTTCCAATTCAAATGACGTTAAAATTCTAAAAAAAAACTAAATTAGAAGGCAACATCTTCCATTGAATAATTAATTTACTATTAATCTGGAGGATATTGCTGGTTGCGTTGTTTTCTTCACATAGTTTTCTTCACAGTTCACTTCACACCAACTTTAGAACAAAACCTCTTCTACCAATTTATCATTTTCCATTTCCCAAGTTTCTCAATTTCATTGGGCTCCTCATGTAGCGTATAAAGTCCAGTGTCTGGCTCGTTGGTAATGTCTTTAAATTCGAGTGATTTTGATCTCGAGACCAGTCCATTTCAGGTTGCCGTGAAGTCTAGCGACGCCCTCCGCGATGAATGTGATAACAGCAGCTCTAGTAGTAATAAATACGTTGATTGTTACGCCAGGAATGGGTACTGTTGTTGTCATTGTTACAAAAAGTTAGCAATTACCATCTATCATATCTAGTATATATCTTTCTTGGTTTCGTTATTTATTTATCAGTTATTTATTTATTCATTCATGCTTTTATTCATTCATTCAATTAATTCATTTTTTCATTCAATTGTTCGTTCGTTTTGTTGTTTGTTAGTTCATTCGTTCGTGCATTCATTCACTTATCTATTCATTCAATAAATGATTGATTGAATGAATGAATGAATGAATGAATGAATTAATTAATTAATTAATAGTATTACTATATATTATTTATCAATTGTTTGTATCTTATTCATTTACTATGCGCTCACTAACTTATTTATTATGTTTCAATTTTGGATCCATAACAATGATTTAATTATGGGATAATTATGTAATTATTATTTATCAACTGTGTAGGAATTTATGTTTTGATGGCATGTTAATTAAATTCTAATTAATTAATAGTTGTAGCATAATTAATTGTTCATTATGTTCACTCATTTTTGTTATACATTTTAACATTTAACTTTGAAAGTGAACGTTAATGAGTTGTAAATAGTGAATGAATGAATTATAAACGATGAGTTATAAACAACGAATTATAAATAAGGAGCATAATTTTATTGGTGTCTGATGCATGCAACAAAATTTAACGTTCAGTTGTTTAGTTTGATGGATCAGTTCCTAGGAGTTGAGATGGTTAATGGTTTAATGCTGTTGTAACATACACAGAAGAAAGCATCTTGTTGGATGTGTGACATTTGGCTGTCTGGTTCGATGAACCTGCTGTGATTTTTTGTAATGTTATGAGTTGGTTAATTACATTCTAATTGAATAATGTTGAGATGAATTGCTCCTCTGATTGGTTATTGCTTTTCCATCTTTATTGATTTTTCTTTAGGGGTTGCTTTTATTAAGAACGGTTTTTATTAATTTTTTTATTATCATTTTTTTACTTCATTAGTCAGTTGAAATCAATTTAGTAGTAGAGTGCAACCGTGTCTTTAATAGTATTTGTCTTTACAATTGTAAATAAAATCATATTATTTTGGGGTATTATGACGCTGGTGCTTATAATCCCATGCAGTGCTGTTATGCTATGATATTTGCTATGTGGACACGCACACACACATACAAACACGCACGCACACTCACTTTGTTGCAAACATACACAGTGATCACACACCCACAGAACTAAGACAGACATAATTATCTCAATTGCTCATAGATTTTGTATTATTATATTTATAGCTGCCATTCATAGAGGGCAGACAATAGAGTGTTTGTTAGTGATGGCTGTTCACATGCTATTTAAGTTCGGCTATTTGATATTTTGTGAGTTTTGAGATTGTATACTCAGTAAATAACATCTACTTTTTATTCTTCATTTTCTGTTGATAAATTTTAACATAGTAACGTGTCTTTCAATTTATTGCATGATAACTGCTTTTGGAAATAATATTGTTTACATATATATATAAATAAATAAATAAATATATATATATATAAATATATATATATATATATATATATTTGCCATGAGTGTTAGCACTGAGCACAAATAAGTAATGAATGTTCCCCACCTCCAACACAGTCGTACCATGTCGGGGCAGCACCTGGACCACCTAGGCCACCGAAGGACCCAGTCAAAAGGTTCCTGCAAGGACTTCACGGTGGCCACCCCTGAAGAATTTGTTAAAAGGTTCGGGGGCAATCGAGTGGTCGACAAGGTTTGTCCTTGAAATTGTTTGTTCTTTTTATGTTTCACTGCTGTCATGTTAAAACAAATTTCCACAACTACTTATTTTATTTATTTATTTATTTGATTTTACAATTTTTTTGTGGAGAATTCAAATTCTTTCAATACTCTGTTAAGAAATTTTGGTTGAACGATTTTAATTTTTATATCCTTCAACAACATCCCATCCCATCACGTAGGGTGTTTTGCATCTGAGAAAATATTTTTATATGTATGACTTCTTAGACAAAATTTCCTTATAGATTTTAAGTTTACATAGTTTAACTGATTTAAATTTTTTTTTTTAAATAATTTACTCTCAATTATTTTGTTTAATAACTGAAATGAAGTGAATGGTGTAACTGATGGAGTGAGTTGAGTGAGAGGAGAGGAATGAGTGTTGCTTCATTCTCGAAGGTCCTCATTGCAAACAATGGCATAGCAGCTGTCAAGTGCATCCGCTCAATCAGGAGGTGGAGTTATGAAATGTTCAAAAATGAGAAAGCTGTTAGGTTTGTTGTCATGGTAACTCCCGAAGACCTGAAAGCTAATGCAGGTTGGCAGTTACTTGAATCAGCTGTTTCGTCAATTTATATTTCAATTCATCATTTTTCTCTTGTGATCATTGGTTTATCAATTAGCTTTTTACTTACTCGCTAGCTCGCTCACTCACTCACTCACTCACTCACTCACTCACTCACTCACTCACTCACTCACTCACTCACTCACTCGATCGCTCACTCACTCACTCACTCACTCATGATGAACAGAGTACATCAGGCTAGCAGATCAATATGTGCCTGTCCCAGGTGGTTCCAACAACAACAACTACGCAAACATTGAACTCATCCTTGACATCGCCAAGAGGACAAAGGTTCAGGCAGTGTGGGCGGGTTGGGGCCACGCTTCAGAGAATCCAAAGTTACCCGAACTCCTTCACAAAAATGACATTTCTTTCATGGGCTAGTGAAATACCTTCATTATATAGTGTATATTTTTATGTATGACCATATTCGTTAATGTGCACATTCACATAGAGAATAGTTTTTTATCTGTATTTTTGCTTTAGTCATTTTGATTATAAGTCAACATTTTTATTGTTCTACAACTAATAATTTTGCTGCTTTTTTAATGCTTCACTAAATTACATTCATGTTATTAACTATTATTATTATTATTATTAATGCAGTTTAACGGCGTTTCAGCGCTACTGGCTATCTTTACGCCCTTTTTTCTTTTGAAACAAAATTGTCTTAGGGTTCTTTTGAGTTTTTTCAAATATTTCTATATTCTGTCGAGTATTTTTATCTCCTAAAGATATGTTATTAGATTATTGATGTTTTCTCTCTTGAAAATTTTTTCAATATCTGAGGGGATCTGATATCGTTTCCGAATATCATCATGGTTTTTGCATTCCACCAAGTGTTGTACAGAAAGTTTTTCATCACAAAAGTTGCATGCTGGTGGATTTGTTTTGTTGATTATCCAAGAATGAGTGTATTTTGAATGGCCTATTTTTAACCTATTAATAATTGTCCTCAGTTTACGGTTTAAACCCTTAGATTCATCTGGATTTTTTTTATAAACACTTGGCATGGATAGTTTAAGATAATTGTTAATCTTATTCCATTCAAGTTGCCATTTCTCATTCATAATTTTTTTTGTCCAAGTTCTTAAATCACTGTATGGAATTGGTACATTTGATATTGGGATAGCATGGGCTTGTGATGCGAGTTGATCTGCTTCTTCGTTGCCATGAATTCCTAAGTGACTGGGAATCCACATCAAAGCTATTTTATTACTATTATTAGTCAAGTTATTATGTATATTATTTTGTATTTGCTTTATCAGATTATGTTGAGGGCTATATTGATTAAGTGCAGTGATTACAGATAATGAATCTGAAAATATTAAAAATTTGTTATTATTGAATTTAGATACATAGCTTATCGCCATCTCAATAGCAATGATCTCTGCTGTAAAAATTGATATATAGTTTGGAAGATGTTTCATGAGCTTATATATAATCTTTGATTGCTGGTAAACAACTATTGCTGCTGTCATTGCGAACTCCTTTTTTGAGTATAAATTTTTGTGGAATTGGGATTTTTATGGATTTTTTCTCTAAATAAAATTTTACTGTTCTATTTATACTGATATCAACATCTGGATACAGCAATAGCCAAGGCGGGTGTTCATAATCCATTTCTTTCAAAATATTAGTTTTGTTATGACCTTTGATATATTCATTAAGTCTTGCTGGGAATGTTTGTATAGCTTTTGATTTTATTTGATGATTCTGGTTTATAAATTTGTAGTTCTGATTTTCTGGCTGAGACCTAACTTTTAAATAATAATTCAATGCTAACTTTTGATGTCTAAATGTTAAAGGCATCTCCCCAGACAAAACATGTAAACTGCTAGATGGCGATGTTCTGTAAGCTCCCAAGACTTTTCTTAATGACTCGTTCATTATTGGTTGAAGAATTTTCAGATATGATTTCCTTGTTGATCCGTAGACAGGACTAGCATAGTCTGTTATTGACCTTATTATTGCTTGATAGATTGTCATTAAGTGTTTTTGGTCTGAACCCCAGGTATGATGAGATAGAACTTTTAGAAGGTTGAGTGCTTTTAAACATTTTATTTTGGTCTGTTGGATGTGCGGAATAAAATTAAGTTTGGAGTCTAAGATTATTCCCAAATATTTATATTGCTGAGTAAATTCGATGAAATTTTCTTGAAATTTTAATTTTAGGTATATTTTTTTTCGTTTTTTTGAAAATAGGATGGCTTTTGTTTTAGATTCTGAAAAATTTATTCCATGTTTAATTGCCCATTTTTCTAATGAAATCAAAAATCTGTTTATTTCTTCCTTCATTATTTCAATATTTTTATTTCTAAAAGTTATTGTTATGTCATCCATATACAGTGAAGCTATTGCTTTTTTTGGAATTATACTTGTTATGCCATCCAAGAGTAAGCAAAACAGTTTTGGTGACAAAATGCTTCCTTGAGGGATGCCTAACTCTGGATGCATTACTTCAGAAAATATATTATTAATTTTTACCTGAAAGGATCGGTTTATTAAAAATTTTTGAATAAATTTGGGTAGGTTTCCTCTTAATCCTGCTTGATGTAGTACTCTAGTAATTCCATACCTCCAGGCTTTATCATAAGCTTTTTCTATGTCTAAAAAGATTGTTATCGTCTGTTCATTGTTGTTTAAAGCTTGTCTGACATGGGTTTCTAGTTATAGTATGTTATCTAACGTAGATCTTCCTTTAATCCCACCACATTGAGAGTTTGATATTATTTTATTTGTTTTCAGATACCAATTTAATCTTTTATTAATTATTTTTTCCATTATTTTACAGGTGCAACAGGTTAAGGATATTGGTCTATAGTTTTCAGGTTGTAATTTGGTCTTATTTGGCTTATTTATCGGAATTATTGTTGCATGGAGCCATATAGTTGAAAGACTTGAGTTGTACCAAATATTATTGTAAATTTTCAATAGTATCATTAGTGCATTTTGTGGCAAGTTTTTAAGCATCTTGTAAGTAATTAAATCTGGATCTGGAGTGGAATCGTTGCTATTGTTAATTTCATACATCATTTCTTTCATTGATATAGGAGAGTTGTATAGCTCTAAATTTTTTGAATTGAAATCCAGATCTTTACTTTCTTCTGTTGATTTGATGTTTGCAAATTGGTTGTTTAAATTTTTTGAATTTTGCTGGAAGTAGTTGGCCAAAATATTGGATATATCTTGGTCAGTTATATATTCCTTATTGTTAGCAATAATATGGCTGTTTTTGTTGGTATTATATTTGTTTTTAATTTTTCTGATCATCTCCCATACTTTTACTGCTGAAGTGTTGACATTGAGATTACTGACGAATGAACTTCAGGAGAATTTCCTTTCTTCTCTCACTATTCTACATGCTTCTGCTTTGAATTTCTTATAGTTTATGAGATTGACTTGGGTAGGGTTATTTTTAAATATTTTGAATGTTTTTTGTTTTGCTTGATTGCATTTTTGCTCTTCTCATTAAACCAAGGATTTAATATTTTACCACTTTTATTTTTTATAACTGGTGTAATCTGGTCTATGATTGTTGTTATAATCTTTATCCATTTGTTCATTGATTCATCATCAATTGTGTTAACATTTTTCATTCTTTCCTCTGTCATGTTTTTAAATGCAGTCCAATCTGTTTTATTGTAATTTATTCTTTTCAAATCATAATTTCTTATGTTTTTGATGGATAAAATTATTGGATAATGGTCACTGCCATGTAAATCGTCTTCTGCATCCCATTCTATATCTTAAAAAATGGCTGGAGTGGTCATGGCTAGATCTATTGTTGATGAAGTATTTGTATGATCATGATACATTGTTGCTTTTGTTGGTTTGATTAGGCAGAGATCGCTTTCTATTATTGTTTTTTTCTAGGTGTATTCCTTGAGCATTTGAAGTTGAGCATTCCCAGATTTTGTTGTGAGCATTGAAATCTCCCAATAATATGAATGGTTTAGGGATTTGTTTAATTAAATGTTTTAACTCTTGTGATTTGATCAATGAGTTTGGTTTTATATACTCATTGCATATTGTTATGGATTTATTGTGGATTGTTATTCTTGTTGCTATAAAATGTTTATTAGTTTCTATTTTAACTGGAGATTGTGTTATATCGTGATGGATGTAAATTGATGTTCCTGCCGATGGGTTTGTTTTTGTTGGTATGGCTGATTTATGGTAAGCCTTGAAGTTTTTCAAATTTATTTGCTTGTCATCAGTAACCTTAGTTTCCTGCAGGCATATGATTTGAGGATTATATTTGGAGATTAAGATCTGTAGTTCTGGAAAATTATTTTTCATTCCTCTTATTGCAGGATTCTAATCTTATTGGGATTTTTATGCATTATATCATCTTGACGTTTAATTGGTTTATGATCATCATTGTTGCTTAGTATGTCTGATTTATCCCTTGTTTGTATGTCTATTGTTGGCATTTTTTTTACTAGAAGCCATACTCATTGTTATCTTTTGTAACCCTTTTGATATTATTTACATATATATCATCATTGTTACAAAATACTTCATTATCATCACTACTTTTCATATCCTCATCAGTAGAGAATGAATATGGATCTTTATTTTTTTTTTGTTATTATTACCATTATTATTATTACCTTTATTATTATCATTATTCTTATTATTATCATCATTACTATTATTACCATTATTATTACCATTACCATTATTATGACTACCAATTTTATTAACACTATTACCATTAGTTACTTTTACTGGTATTGCTCCTGTCGTCATCATCATGATCTGATTCCAATTTTTTCCCTCTTCCTTTATGAGATTTATCAGTATTAGATGGTTTTTTCTTTAAATATGTCATGCAGTAGTTTGTTGGATCTTTTATGAGATTGCATTGGGTTTCTTTATTTACCATTGCTTTTTTTGTAATTATTTGGGAATATAATGGTTTTTTCTGCTGATATATCTGATTTCTCGCCTGGATATATGATACATTATTTTCAGCTTTTGTCTTTAATATTTCTTTTTCCAATTTGAATTTTGAACATTCTTTAGAAAAGGTTTCATGGTTATGTCCACAGTGGTAACATTTTGGGGTATTTTGACATGGGATTTCCCATGTGGGCTTATGTTTTATAATTCCACACCTTGAGCAAATAACATCTTTACTCTTGCAAATCTTATGGTGGTGACCGTATTTCTGACATTTTGTACATCATGTTGGAAAGGGTATAAACTTTTCAACTTTGATTGATTGATAACAAACTTTTAAATCTCCTGGAAGTTGGGGACTATTGAATGTTAGAATGAAGGTGTTTGTGTTAATTTTCTGATTATTTTTGGTTATTTTTATATTGTAAATATCTATCACACCTTGACTTTTTAATTCTTCCTTTATTTCACTTTCAGAGCAGTATTTAAAAATTGTTGTTCTGATAACTCCTTTACTTATATTCAAAGATTTGTGTGGATAACATTTAACTTTTTCATTCAAGATAGAATTGATTTTTAATAATTTATCTCGTTGAGTTTCTTCTTCTTTTAACTTAACTTTTAACTTGGTTGAATTTTAATGAAATTCAATTCTCCTAGAGTGGTTTGGAAGAATTTACAGATTTTGAATATTGACATTTTTCGGAAGTCGTGGTCATTATCCAGTGTTAGCGGTTCAATGATAAAAAACATTGGTCTGTCCATCTTCGGTGGTGATGATATTATAGTTGGCGACGTAACCACCCTGGCCCTTTTGTAGCGTGGCGCCAGCCTGACTGGCCCACCAGTACCTTTGGTGGTTCCGTGCAAGTATGCAATTTATAATATTAAAAAAAAAAATAAAAAATAAAATTTTAAAAATTCGTTAATTAAGGAAAAATTAAATTAAGAAATTCGGAGCTAGGGGAAAACAACTGAACCATATATCGCTCAACCCAAGAATCCTGTTATTAACTAGCAATCTCATCTTTCATCTTCAATCTGTCAATTTTTGGTTCGGCTTCGAATGTTACGTCTGTTTTTCAAAGTTTTAAAATATGTATAGATTTTTATTTTTGTGAAGAATATATGAAATAATTTTAAACAAAAATGTTGTTAGGATATATCAAATAGGTTTTTAAACAGCCTGATTATGTAGAATAAGAAATGATGAGACGACGAACTATCATTGTTTGAAAAGATCATCAGATTCATTAAAAGATGTTGTTATTCACTTTTTATTTTCACATACTGACTTTATTTTGTTGACACCCAAAAATATTCTTCTGATTAACGTGTTTTACTACTTTATCTATACCAACATATGTCTACATTACATCTTGCATTGTATATGCGACTGCATCGAACTATTGTGCTATAATAATTTAAGCAATGAAAACTATTTTTGGAGCAAATGTTGTTAAGATAAACTTATCTGTTTCCAAATCCAGTTTTATAAAATCACATCTAATGGTAATTAATTTATTGAATATTGCTTGATTGGTAATTTTAATTTAGAAAGCGTTAGGAAAGGATTTTAATAAAGTGTGACCTCCAGTGCTACAAAGAATTTTTACGAACATAAAAACGCGAGCATGCTATTTAGAATTAAGTTATTGAAAGCAAAAATCAAACAAACTTATTAAAAATATACATGTAAGAAATTAAGAGTAGTTAATATTAAATCATTAGTTAAAATAAGAAATACATGCTGACATGAAAAATGTTTTATAAAACCAATGTGAAAACAAGAATGTCAATATTTGGAATGAATAGTGAATACAGCTTTAAATATCATTGCAACCAAAATGTGGGCCAACAGTTCAAAATTTTCAAAGCTTTCTAAGATTTATTTCACTTGAGGTAGAAAGTACAAATATTTTTTTGTGTTCTACTCATTCAACTTGTCGTTTGCAGCAAACTCTTTGAGACATTTTTTCATGTGTTTTTATGTAATTTTTGTATTATAATCGTTATATTTTATGCTTTCTTTGTAGTTCTTTTTGATCAATTTAATTTCTCACCCCATCCCACCCCATTTGAAATTTGGTTTTATTATTCTTTATAAAAATTCAACCTCTTTCAAACGTCAGCAATAAAAGAATTGAATAGATAAATGATGCAAAATACAGACAATACGAGCTATTAAAAACGCATTTAAAACGCGAAAAATACATAAAAAATGTTTGTGAATGTTCCTTGTTTAAGACATTATAATGAGAAAGAGAAAAGTTTAAACAACACACATGTGTTTAATTCATTGGACATGGTTCATTCCTTGCAATTGGTTTATTTCTTGCAAATGGTTCATTCATTGCAAACGGTTCATTAATTCCAAATGGTTCATTCCTTGCAAACGGTTCACTCAATGCAGGACCATCTGAAGGTGCCATGTGGGCCCTCGGAGACAAGATTGCATCATCGATTGTTGCTCAAACTGCTGGAGTTCCCACTTTGCCTTGGAGTGGTTCAGGTAATGCTTTTTTTTGTAATGCCTTCAATACTTTTGGTCGGTATAAATCTTATCATGGGCATGTATCATGTATTTACCGTCTGATTAACTTTAGATAATGTTGGTCGGTTAATTACTTTAATATTTGAAATGAGACCAACATTTTGGTTCACAACGCCGATTTTATTAAACTTTTTTTTCAATATGTTCATTCAGGTTTAAAAGTGGATATAGATTCAAACTTATATAAGCAGTTGGGGCAGAGACGAGAGAATATCATCACCATTCCATACGAGATGTACCAAAAGGGGATTGTGACTACGGTTGATGAGGCATTGAGAGCTGCTGACATCATAGGTTTGTTGTTGTTGTTGTTATGGTTGTTGTTGTTTCAAGTGATGCAATGTGAAGTGTATTGCAATGGTTGGTCATCATTTTTTGTTCTCTGCAGCGTTGTCGTTTTTTGGTAACATAACTTAATATTTCCCTCAATTGTCAAATTAAATTGATAACTGATAGGCTACCCGGTGATGATCAAGGCGTCAGAAGGAGGAGGAGGTAAAGGCATTCGAAAGTCACTGAGTGTTGATGACATGCCTAATCTCTTCAGACAGGTATATAATGGTGGTCCAGTTGTTCACGTGTGCATTAGTTAAAGATGAACTGATTGATAAGATAGTGACCTTTGTTTAGATAATGTCTATTGTTTAGTTTTATTTGCGTAGTTTTCATATGCCGAGAATGTTTGTTGCATTTGTTTGTGATGTTTGATTTACTGTTATCTGGAAGTTAATTTAGAGTTATTTAGAAATTCTAAATTCGTTTCAATTATAGACCTAGTCCTTCAATTGCCTCACTTTGTTAAAAATAACTGCAACTGACTAAGGAGTTGAAAATAATCACAGGCGAGGCTGTCCTGAGACATTTACTTTTCTTTTCATCTATGAAAATCGCTCTGTATGACCGACTGCAGTTTATATGCTTCTGGTTAACAATACATTCTACTGGTCACATTTTGAAAATTTGTTCGATTTTTATATTTTGCAAGTTGTTTCATTTACTTACTGATACCAATTTATTTGGTCGTTTTTTTTTGTTTTTTTTTTGTTTTTATTTTTGTTGTCTAAGTTGTTTGATGAAATGTATTTGAAACAGGTGCAGGCAGAGGTTCCTGGTTCTCCAATATTCATTATGAAACTCGCTAAGAAGGCTCGTCACTTGGAAGTTCAGCTACTTGCTGACAAATATGGAAATGCCATCTCCTTGTTTGGCAGGGACTGTTCCATCCAGAGGCGGCATCAGAAGATTATTGAAGAGGCACCTGTCACGGTTGCTCCACAAGATATCCAAGAAGCCATGGAGAAGGCATTACTCCCTTGTTGTATCGCGGATATTATTTTCTTACACCTCAATTCTCTATACATGTCAAATACAATTGAACAAATAAACAACTAAACAACAGAAAGTGATACAAACAATCAAATGAACAAACACACAGGCTGCAGTGAACTTAGCTCGCATGGTTGGATACGAGAGTGCAGGTACCGTAGAGTACCTATACAATGAGGAGGATCGAACATTCTACTTCCTGGAATTGAATCCCAGGTTGCAAGTTGAACATCCGTGTACTGAGATGGTGGCTGACATCAATCTGCCTGCTGTCCAGTTGCAAGTGAGTCGTAGAATGTTGTTCAATGAAAATTTATTAAATTTTACACAATATACATCACTTGCACAGTGCACACAGTATATTCACCAATGTATCACATTTTAGCTTTAATTTCTAATAATTTATATCAACGGCAAGCATTACAATTCAATAACCTTTCAATTTATTTCAACTTAACATACATTTGGGACAATACCAGTAGAATATACAACTAAATTAAACTACAATAAGCTATGATAAATTAATTTTCAATGTTAAGTGTTCTGTTTTTATCATATAACTCGTGCTGAATCATTCGTATTGTTATTCTGTTAATATATCATGTTGCACTTGGTTTTAAATGAGAAAACTTGTTTGAATATAATGATCGCCTGCCTGTACTTCTTCAGATATCCATGGGAGTTCCCTTGCACCGAATCAAAGAAATTCGGTTGTTGTACGGCGAGGAACCATGGGGAGACACCATCATCGATTTCCTCACTCCTCATCACAAGCCCATCCCCAAAGGTCACGTGATAGCAGCTCGCATCACCAGCGAAAATCCGGATGAGGGTTTCAAGCCAAGCTCGGGAACGGTACAGGAACTGACCTTTCGAAGTAGCAAGAACATTTGGGGATACTTCAGTGTTGTAGCTTCTGGCGGACTGCACGAATTTGCTGACTCACAGTTTGGTCATTGTTTCTCGTGGGGCAAGGATAGAGAGAGTGCTAGGGAGTGAGTCTATGTCATTTTTTTAGTAAAATTTTTACTTTACTCCGCGTGTTCGTCGTTCAAACTTTACATCATACTCATTTTGTTTGCAGTTACTCTGGTTGACTCTCCCATTATTATTATGAAATTTCTCATCTGCTCGTTTACATTAATGTGCTGTGCGATCATGCGTTGTAATTACATTAATGCACACAAACACACATCCTTCCAGAAACATGGCAGTTGCATTGAAGGAACTGTCCATCCGAGGTGACTTCAGGACCACAGTGGAGTACCTCATCAAACTCATTGAGACTGAAAGCTTCCAGAACAACACTTGTGACACTGGCTGGTTAGATAAGCTCATCACTGACAAGGTGCAGGTAAGTAGCGGGAAGTGCGTCACCCACACTGGAACGAACTACATCGTTGACTTGACAACATCAATATTCAACTTTGATAGTTTTTTTTATTTCAGTTTCTTTTTAAGATCTGTAATTGTTTATTGTTGAATTGATAGTAACATACGCTGTACTTGTGAATATAGTTTGTGGTTTGTTTACTCTACACTTTTATTCGTTAGTTTTTAAACTTGCACTTGTCACAGGCAGAGAAGCCGGACATAATGTTGGCTGTAGTGGTTGGGTCACTTCATGTTGCCGACCAACTGCTGCTCAGAAATTTTCAAAACTTCCAAGCCACCTTGGAAAGGTTTTGTTTATTCATTTAGAAACTTATATTATGATGTTCATCGTTATAGTGATAGCCACTAGCAGTATTAATCATCGTCCTCATCACTGTTCCAGGGGTCAAGTGTTGCCAGCCAGTTTCTTGAAGCACACGATCACCGTGGAGTTGATCCACGAGGGCATCAAGTACATCGTCATGGTCACCAAGTCCAGCCCTATCGGGTACTTCATATCCATGAACAACTCGTTTGTTGAGGTCGAGGCACACAGGTAATTAGAGCATGGTTCAGTTGTAATGGTTTATTTTTATTATGCATCTGAAAATTGCAAGAAGAAAAGGAATTAAATATGTTTAGTTATATTGGGGATCTCTCTACTTTTCGTTGAGAAAACGTGCCAAGTGAATTTGTGTACGATGGTTTATTTATACTTTCACGATAAACAGTACAAGATTATCTAGTTGCAGAGTTTTGTTAACTTGCCATAAAATGATACAGGTCATGAATCTTCAAACGAAAATAGATTTAAATCAAAATATAAAAAGTTCGAACTTCTTTAAATTCACTCTGCAGATTATAAATTCCGCATTTCAATATAATTTTAAACCGTTTTGTATTTTTACCGTTTGTGTTGTTTGAACGCATCTGGTGGGCTGGTTTTGCGGCATATTATTAGTTAAATGATTTTTACATTATTAGTTAAATGATTTTAAATTCTGCGAGTTTGAAGAATGGTGAGGTCGGAATAGGATGTCGGACGAGTTCCGTACATATAAAAATCCGTGGAGTAAGAGTTTGGTTGGAGCACATAGCTTCAGCCAGTTTATGATCACTGTTGGTGCTTTGTAGACTCTTGTTATACCATCTCAATCAATAGAATAACATAAAGCCGACACAATGCAACCTAACAACAACCTAACAACAACCTAACAACAAACTAACAACAACCTTACAACAACCTATCAACAACTCACGCAGACTAACGGACGGGGGTTTGCTGGTGTCGATAGATGGCTCAAGTTACACGACGTACATGAAGGAGGAAACCAGCCAATACAGGATAGTCATCGGAAACAAAACTTGTGTCTTTGAGAAAGATAACGACCCTACTCAACTTAGGCTGGTTGATTGTTTGATTAGTTTGTTGATTGGTTGTTTGAAAGATTGATTGATTAATCTATGGACTTTCTAGTTAAGATATGACGGACGCCATCATCACGTCTCAACAGGATCCCGTCGACAGGGAAGCTGGTTGGATATTTGATTGAGGAAGGTGGTCACGTGAATGCTGGTGACTTGTTTGCTGAGATCGAAGTTATGAAAATGATCATGGAGCTCAGAGCTGCTCACAGTGGATGGTTTGTTGGTTGTCCCGATGATGATGGTGACGATGATGATGAGGATTGTTTTGTGTTGATGATATTAGTAGGGGTGATGATAATTACGAGACTGAAGAGCTTATCTTGGGCTTAAAAGCAGTTAACAACCAATATACTTGCACCAGCGTTCATTTGGTAGCACACTTGTTGTATAACGTTCAACATTATGTTTTTTCATATACACTGCAGTTTAAAGAGTTTTCAAGACTATTGCGATGTAAAATTGTCCAATACTGCATATTATCATGTGTATGAGTTTATATTCTTTATCAAGTTAACATGATTCAAAGCGTCAGGTTTAATTTGATTAGAGGGTTAAGGGTCATTGATCTAGCCCTCGTTCGATTTACCGACACGTGCTTTAGTACCGTGCCGATCTTTCAATCGGTGCTCATTTTTTGTCAATAACACCAACCCTTTATTAATTGTTATGACTACATATTTATTTGTACTTTTATTTCATGTGTTTATATTTTTAATCTGCCATCAACGTGACCAGCATCCACTATTTGAAGAGGCCAGGTGCTTCCCTGGATGCAGGCACCGTCATTGCCACCCTGACCCTCGATGATGCTTCCAAAGTTCAAATGGTCTTTACTTGTTGCCTTCGGGTTTTGTTTTGATGTTGTGTTTATGAGTAAATTTTGATATTATTGTTGTTATTTTTAAAATGTGTTGATGTCATTTTATAGAATGGTTTACGTAGTCATACTCTCTGCTGATATATCACGTCTCTCTGTATACACATCTCCCTGTAAACGTACTTATCATTACGTTGGCACATGCATCTTTCTATGCATCCATTTTTATAATTCTGTCATTCATTTATTCATTTTTCGATCGTTCTCTTCATCCCTTCGACCCCTTCACTACCGACCACCAGTCGAAACCGTACGAGGGTCAATTCCCAAAGACAGACCGGGCCATTCATCTCGGAGACAAGCTGCATCAGATCTTCGATAACACCAAATCATCTATCGATCAAATTCTCGAAGGTACTCGCCATGCTGCTTGCTATGTTGTATTATCCTATTATTCAGTGGGTATGCTGATGCTGGGGATGATGATAACCGACTCAGAAAAATGAGCCGATGCACTTTTTTTTACTTAAATAATCATGATTATAGTGACTGTGATATTTCTGATGGTAATAATTGACAAAATGCCAAGGATAAAGGCGTGTTATTATTAGCGTAGCATTTAAAATTGGTTTTTGTTTCATTCAGGATACTGCCTACCTGACCCGTACTTCAAGCAGCGCCTGGACCAGAACCTGGAAACCCTCTCCAAGTGTCTCAAAGATCCACACTTACCACTTCTTAAGTTGCAGGTTTGCTGTCGGGCTTCATTTGGTTTAGCTTTGTTTCTTCTTCATTATCGTTTGTTGTTTTGGCTGTATATTGCTGTGTGTGTGTGGTGTGTATGTGTGTGTGTATGTATGTGTGTGTGTGTGGTAGTTGTTATCACGTGATGTGATGGCGTCGTCATTTTGTTCCATTATTAGGAGATCATCTCGAGCATATCAGGTCGTATTCCGACGGAAGTGGAAACTTCATTGCGCCAGTTGATGGCTGGATATGCGAGCAACATCACTTCAGTCATGTGCCAGTTTCCTAGTCAACAGGTATTTGAAGAGAATAAAAATATATTGCAGAAAAAATTGGGATTCCAATTTTAAATTTTGTGACCAAATTACTTTTGATACGGTGAAATATTAATGATATAGGATTCATAAATGAAAGTGTGTCCCATTGAATTAGATTGCCAACATCCTGGACTCGCATGCTGCCTCCCTCACCAAGAGGTCTGAGAAGGATGTCTTCTTCATCGCAACTCAGGGCATCGGACAATTCGTCAAAAAGTTTCTACTATTGTTTCAAGATTTTGTAATAATTTCTACATGTGTTCTTTCAAACTTCAATAGTTACTATCAAACCCCGCATAATTATATAATTTTAATTAGTAATTATTCGATTAGGCTATTTTGGTCAGTTGAGTTGCTCATATTAATTAGCTAGCTGACCTGTAAACTAGTAAAATAAAACTTACGTTCTACATTTTCAAACAATATGTTCATTGTAGGAGGCAACATGTTTAACGTTATAAAAATAATAATGACGCAATGACGATGACGACGACTTGCTGGCTCCCGCTAGAAGGAATCAGTCTCCACTGTAACTTCAACTGAACAGATTTAGGAACGGGTTGAGAGGGCACACGAAACTTGTCATACAAGAATTCATCAGGAACTATCTGAAAATTGAAACGCAATTCCAACATGGTCTGTTTATTTATTCACATTTCGGTTTGATTGCACTCAACAATAAACAATGTCTCAGTCACATCATCTTCATCATCGTCATTCTCGTCACCATCATCAGCTTGTTTACAGTATTTTTTTACATATCATTTAATCTAATAATTACCTAACAATAGTAATTAGCTCTATATCGTTACTGT